GGCTCATAGTGATCCTGTTTTCAGCCTCCCCAGTGCTGGGATTACAGGCATGTGCCACTATGCCCTGACTCAGTTGCTGGCTCAACGCACCCTGGGGGCAGGACTGGCAAGGCATGTGGGATGAGAAATTGAGCCCTGGTCCCTGTGCTTGCCAAAGCAGGCACTTAGTCCACTGAGCTATCTCACCAGCCCAAATCTAGATGTCTTTAGATGGAGTTTTTGGGGTCTTCTATGTAGAATATCATGTCATCTGCAAATAAAGACAATTTAACTTCTTCCTTTCCTATTTTTATTCTTTTTACTTTTTTCTCTTTAATTGCTCTGACTAATGTTTCCTGAACTATATTGAATAGTGGTGATAATGGACATTATTGTCTAATTACTGATTTTAGAGTGAAAAATACTACAATAAAATTGATGAACCATTAGCGAATCTCATTGAAAAGAGGAAAGGAAAAACACATATCCAAACATTTAGGAATAAAAGAAAGAAATCACAACAGCTCTCACAGAAATCTAGGAGATTATACATACTTACTAAGAGGACCTATATTCTAATAAGATGGAAAAGACAGAAGACATGGAAAGATTCCTAGGCACACAAAATTGAACAAACTATATCAAGAAGATATAAAATTTCTATATAACCTGATATCTGCCAATTAAACAAAATATAATTAAAAATGCAATGACACATAAAAGCCTAGGCCCTGATGGATTTACTATTGAATTCAACAAGAATTAATTAATTGATTGGTTTGTATGGTTAACTGAACTCACAACCTCACACTAGCTAGGCATGTACTATACCACTGCACTATATCCCCAGCCCTCAACAAGAAATTAGAGAAGAAGTAATGCAACCAATGATGAAAGTCTTTAAGTAGCTGAGAGGGAAAAAGTGCTTCCAAAATTATTGCTGCAAGCAAGTATTAGTGTGATTCTAAAACCAATGAAGAACTGGCCAGAAAGAAAACCACAAGACAATCTCCCGAAAAAACTCAGATGCAAAAATCCTTAGTAAGATACTGGCAAACAGAACATAGCAAATTACCAGAAAGATTATATTCCATGACCAAGCAGGATTCATCCTAGGGTTGCAGGGATGGTTCAATATATGCAAATCAATAGATGTAATACACCATATCAACAGAACCAAAGAAAAAAATCTCACGACCATCTCAATAGGTACCGAAAAAGCATATGACAAAGTCCAACACCCATTTCTGATAAAAACGCAATAAAAAATTGGAATACATTGTCTTTATCTCAATCTCATAAATGCCATCTATGACAAGCCAACAGCTAACATCATATTAAATGATCAAAGCCTGAGCGGTTTAACAATATTATACATTTCAACATTCCTAGGAGGGTAGATATTATGTTATGTGTTTTTAAACCACAAAATAATATTAATAAATAAAAAAGGAAAGAAAAACTTCTGCAAGTGTCACATTTATAGTCCAGATTTTGGTAATGGTGTTACAGCTGTATACTTATCTGTAAAAAACAAAAACAAAAACAAAAAAAGCTAATCACACCATGATGTAAAAAAAAAAAAAAATGACACATGCATATAGTAACAATTACCTGTTTCCTTTTCTGCTGGGCCTAAAACATAAGAAAAGAGAATTTAGGAGAAAAACAAAATCTACTCATGTTGCTCATATAATGCAGAAGGCTGATCATGCAAAGAAAAACCTACTTTTTTATTTTAACTTAAATTTTATTTAGCTCTTGATCTGGTCTTGGAAGTAGATAATGAAAAAAAATCATTTTCCAGCTAATGAGCAAGTATTTTGATTTTCTTTTTTCTTTTTTTTTGTGGTGGAACTGGGGATTGAACTCAGGCCCTTGCACTTGCCAGGGAAGTGTTTATTCCACTGAGCTATCTCCCCAGCCCCTAATATTTTGATTTTCTGAAAGGACACATGTGATTTGCCACCATCGAGTGGACTGTTAAGATTCCCTTATTAGAATGTTCTCGCATCAGAACTGAGGTAAGTATGGGGCAATCTCAGGAAGGCAAAAGGTAGACATGATCCCTGTTCATGTGCAAATTGGTTTTTATACATACAACTAAAATTTTTTGTTTCCATTTTTAAATGGTCACTATGTCTATAAAATATACAGAGACACACCGAAAAACATGCTGTATTAGCTTTCCAGTGTTTTTATAGATAGTAACAGCAAAACTACAAGGAGATAGTTAAGAACAAAAGGTATTTACAGTTTTCCAATATGCCTCATAACCTTTATATAAAATATATTCTGCCTAGAAGTTTGAAGATGTCCCCAAACTTTTCTCTGACAAATATGAAAGGCTTTAATGACTATTATTATATCTTTTTTTCAATCTGTGGTCTGAACACTCAGTATTCACAAACATGAAAATAATCTGAATGAGTATTCAAACTGAAAACTAATGTGTTTATCTTCCCCTTTCCTTAAATGATCTAATGTTCATTGCTTTTGCTTTAACACGACATGATATCATAATTAATGATGTTAAACTGGTAACTAAGGAGGTTTCATGTTGTTACTCTCGTGATATAATATTGGTTGCTATAGTAATGAGATGGCTTTTTTGTTAATCACTCGAGAGGTTGGTTATCACATGCTTGTTAGAGTTCTTGGCCAGATTTGGAAAGAAAAAAGGAATGAACGCACAGTCAATTATAGTCAGTCTTTTGCATTGGCTAAATTTTGATAAAACTATTCTAAGATCAAATGTTCATAAATTTACTTTTCATTAAGTGCAATTTTATATCAAAGTTGGTAATTTTTTTTTTGTAAAGAATGACATGGGTTTTACCCTCAGGATAAGGATTTAACATTAACTGTAAACTTTTCCTGCTCTCCAATACTGCTAGATGTATTATACACTCTGGTTTTACAGTAATTTGAGCAAAGGATTTGAGGGTTTTTTTTTGAATCATTCAAAATATTGATTAAACAATAGCTGGTTATGTGATTTTGCCACAAATTATAATCTAAACATTTATCCTTAAACATTTTAAATATCTGTCTCCTTCTTGAATAAAACCTGCAGAGGAAAAGAGTGTACAGTCCTCTCAAGACATTCAGTCTTTCAAATGCATCAATAGACTGCAAGCAATTAAAGCTGTAGGAAGTTCCACCCAAACTTTCATCCTTATAATCATCAAGTTTCTTCCTTCCCTGTGTTACACTGCAGAACAGAAAATAAAATTACATAATACTATACTGATGCTGATTAGACAAAATCCACAACCCATAGTTTAAATGTTAGACATACTTACAGTAATGTCAAAAAATACAACCCATGAAAACACCTTTGGTTTCTTGAAAACTCAAAATAAGAACAAAGAACAACTTAAGCACGAATCCTGGGTCTTTCATTCAAGCAGAGTCCCAGGAGGCATATTAAAGCAATGAATAGGAAAAAGCTCTTCAGTTCACCAGCTGAGATTTTAATGAGACATTTCCCTTTGCCGCGGTACAGGATTGTTCAGACAAGGCAAGGACTTCTCATAGCAAATTCAGTTAATAGGCATTGTTGGTCTCCCTGCTACTTCGGCAATTGCTCACTGCACTGACCTTCTATTTTGGCATATTCTGTGAGTCTAGTGTAATTGATCAAGGCAGCTTTTTCGAGGCATTTTCTGACCACTTTCTTCACCTCTTCTGCTGGTATGGGAGTGGCAATATCTTTCATTAAAACCTACCAAGAGAGGAAAGAAGGGAAGAGAGAGAGAGAAAGAGAGGAAGAGGAGGGGAAAGGGGGAGGGGAGAGTAAAGAAGGGAGTAAGGGGAGAGAAGAGTACAGTGGGGGTAGACAGAAGGGGAGGGAAGAGGAGGGGAGAGAGATTACATAAAACAAATACTAAAACACAAATTACACATGTGGTCCTAGACCTGACTGTTCCTAGAAAGGGTCCTTCGTAACTTGAGGGGAAGTAATGAGCTAGCACTTCACAACTGGAACCTAATCCTCCTGTCTTGGATCCTCCTGTCTAAGCCTCATTTATGCACATCAAAACCTCCCACTGGCGAAGCCGCCATTCAGTGTGGACTGTTACTTTTCCTCATGGGACCCAGACACCATTAGAGCAGCTGTTTCAGATCAGGATTACAGTTCTTGGGGCAAATAATAAACAAAGTTTGTTTTTCACATCCTAACTTAAAAGGCCTGAATCTTTTAAGCAGTACATATTTGAAAACAATTAGAAAAATTTCATTGAACATGGTGTAACAAAAATCAACAGCTCTAATATCACTAATTAAACTATAATGACTGTGACCTGCTGAACATACCATGACAAAAAAGAAGGGGGGACTTCTTTGTCTTATGGAAGTGACTGCTTACAGATTATCAAATGCATAATACGTGGGAAATTTCTGGAGTTTTGAAAAAACACTTGCTTATGTGCTCTTGAGTTCCTGAGATGTGTTTTTGATATCTCCTTGCAAAGTTTTATTTTTGGAAAGGGACAAATAAAATTATATCCAAAATTCAAAATGTCATACAATTTTAAACCTTTTTATATTGGTGCTTTGAAAATTTTAAAATTTTTTTAGTGATAAAACTCACAATAATTTTTGCTTATATTATTAGCCAAAGTCTGTTTTCCCAATTGCAGATTTTCTGTACTATTTACATTCAAATGATCAAATGTATAGCAAAATGTGAATACAAAAAAGATAGTATTTTAGGAAGTGCTATAACTGTTCTATCTGTTCTATAAAGTTTTATCTTAGAATACTGAAATTACATGAAAACATTCATTTTCCATTCTTTATTCATTCATTCTTTATTCTTTGTTGTTTCATTCCCTTTTTACTCAACCATATCCCAAATGATTTTATAATTTTTCAAAATATCAGTGATCTTTTACATTTTTGAATTTTTTAACACAAGTTTTGATTTTTTTGAAATCAGCAAATTTAGATATTTCAAAAAATTCTTCCCCTGTCAAATTCAAGTATTCTTCATATGACTCAATATATATTAGGCACTTTAATGAGAGCCTTATATAACTTTCACATTAGACTCTTTTTAGGCAGTGAAAAATGTTTTTTGAATAGCAAAATAGGTATAATCCTTAAACATATACTATTATATGCAATTACTGCTAAAATTAATACTATGATTATTTTTGTTCCATTACACTTTTACTAATAGACTTCCCAAAGTGATAGACTTTATATATCAGAAATAGCTATTGATAATTAGGATATATGTGTCTGCCACAAAGGTCAGTCCAGGGCAGTAATGACAAAACTATGGCAGGTGTGTTATTGTGTTTTTCTTTTAAGACAAAAAATGGTAATGTACAAGTTTGTTTTCCTAACCTAAAACCTCAGTAACATAGTTAATCGCAGTGTTGGAACTTTGTAATAAATTAGTGGCTTTGGGGTTGCAGTCTGGTACTAGGTCTCTGAAATTTGGTGTAGAATTTGCAACAGCAATAGTTCATATTATCTAAGAGCTACACACTAGCTCTGTAGTGGGAGGGGAGACCAAATCTCCTTCCCAGGAAAGTGCATACAAGTGACTGGCAAATGCAAAAATGGACCTAGCAGCCTCTGCTTCCATCTCCTCTCATGTTCTTCCAAAGTCTCAAGAGGTATTACCAATTCACATATAGATTTTATTTTTCTAAGTTGACAGTAAATGCAAAAAATGAAGAAATGTCCCTCAACATTTCACTCAGTTCAGCAAGACATGTGATTAGTGACTCTGACTGGAATGGGGGTCACTGTCCCCCTGCCACCTGTGGGCGCAGGGCACCAGGCATCTCTGCTGTGGCTAACTCTTCCCTGCTGAGAGGAGGAGGCAGGCTCTGCCATGGAAACCAGAGTGCAGAGCGGCTGGCTGCGCTGCCCCTCAGGACAGGAGGCAGCTCCAAAAAGTAAAGCGATGTTTGCGATGTTATTTTATTCATGACTCCTTAACAAAGAAAAGGGAAGGAGTGATTTGAAAAGCCTGGGTTTCATGCAGCTGTTAATATTACAAAAATTCTAATGAAATAATTTTTACAGGAATATTTCTAGCATACAATACACAATAATCAGGGATAACATAGGGATATATACATGAAATCTAGCTATAATCCAAAGATTTCATTTTAAACATCAGCTCTAATTCTCATCACCAAGTTCTTAACTCACTGAAATGAAGCTGTAATGACTCAACAGTGTCTTTCCTCTCTGCTTTTAATAGAAATCTTAATAAGCACTGTAATTTCTAAAGTTAACTTGGCCGAAAATACGCAAAAAAGTTAATAAAGTAAGATGAGAACAAGTGAATTGAAAATTATACAGAGTATAACTAAATTTTTTTTAATTTTGAAATTGACAGGATAAACTGTATTACATAACCAATAGCATAAATGGATTTATAGACCAATGAAAAAGATAGTTCCCTTTCGAGCCTTAACTGACACAGGAAGAGTACATACTTTGGTTTAAAGATTTTTTTAGGATGGACATTACTTTGTGATTCATTTTGTGGTTGAAATACATGTCTGCCATTTGTGAATTTATATGAGGTAACATACAAACTGGAATGATAAATTATGAGATGAATTTGGAATGAATGGAATGATACATTTTTGAATACAAAATGCTAAACTCTGATTGGCCTGAGGACTATGATGGGCAGAAGGACAAGCAAAGCAGAGGAGAGAAAGGAAAAAGATGATCAGAAAGTCCGAAAAGCAGAGATAACTAACTGAAAAGAAGAAGAAGAAATAAAAAAAGACAATTTGATGAGAGAAAAAAAAGAGGTGGAAAGTGAATAGTATCAAATAAAAGCCATCATGTCAAGCTAAGATGGCAGCGGAGGGGCTCCAGGGAGGGAAGGACCACGGAGGGAGAACAGGGACACAGTAAGGAAAGGTGAGAAATCTGTGATACTCAGTGGCCTCAGTAGAGTTCAGACTCGTGAGGAATGAGACTGCCTGCATAGTTCAGTAACTAAAATGTCAAGCAGCTGGGAGCACAGAGACTATTTATGAAGGATTGTGCATACATACCCTTTCAAGTAATGAAAGTGTAGCTTTTAGAGCACCTTCAGGTCGTCCAAAGGGAAAACAGTATCTTTAAAGACAAAAGAACAAAAAAAGATCAAACATGTAAAATCCAAGACCTCAATGACTCCCGCTACGGTGCTTGGTGAAGTACCATAAAAAAGCAGTTAACATGGCATCAACATTCAGGGAAACTGCATCTCCCCAAGTCCACCTTGCCCTATGATTTCAATGCTTTAAGCAATAAAGGTATCAATGAATGTGATGAAAAAGGCTCCTGATGTTTGGATGATGCAAGTGCTACATGAATACAGCCAAGAAAGAACCTCAGGGTCATGTGTAAAGAGATAAAGAATAAGTATCACCTCATCATTCCCTACTTGAGCTTTGTGCCTATTCAGATTGCACAAGTAAATGACACGTTGCCTCCCATTGCCTATATTTACAAGAGACTAAGGGTACAACCGACGATGCACATACAGCTTCACCAACCACAAAAGTGCCAGGTCTCCCTTGCGCTGCACTTGCCTGGCTACTATAGTGTCTAATCCTTCTGCTTCTGGCAAGATCCACACAGACCCTCTGCAGTTCTCAGTCAGCAGTTTCTTGTCCCAGGTAGTTTTGGTCACATATATTTTAAATACATAGCTACTAGAGGACAGGTAACGGGGATGTTTTGAAATCAAGGACAGAGGAGGCTGGGGGAGTAGCCAAGCTCCTCTAAAGTTGGTTGCCCCATGATGGTAAGGGATTTATTGCTCTCTACAGCCCTTCCCTATGGCATTTTTCACAGGGAAGGCCCTGGACAGAGGGATCCTTGCTGCAGTGCTTGCTGCGTTGAGCCAGGTACAGCGATGCACCCTCTTCCAGGCCTGCAGCTCCCTTGCCAGGATCAAGTCTACAGGCAGCCGCACTGCCCTTAAGCTGCCACCTTACTCTGACCTGACAGTCTGCAAAGTAATGATGGTGATGGAAGTTTATTCAGCTCCATGTCTTGTTGCACTGTCTGCGGGGTCAAAGGACACACCTTCCAGGTACGTGGACATTTCAATAGGTTTCCCGTAAGAAGGCGTAATGCATTTTTATTTTATGAGACAAAATTTCAAAGAGAAAAAAATATTTTTTTCTTTCCTTTCAAAACAAAGCAGTAATTGAATTTATCTCAGAATTGGATTTCAGTTTCATTAAAGTTTCATTAATCACAGAAAAATGCAAATAAGCGCTACATAAATTTAGTCAACCAAGTTTTTTTTTAGACTACTGTATTTATCATTTTAATTACCATTATAGACTTTTCTTACTTAACATTGCCTGTATCTAACCTATTATTGGTCCTCCTACAAAGGCCATGACTAATTTATTTTAATAGAATTGTCTTTGTGTAGTGGTACATTTTAGAGCATTAGCAAATTAACAAAATCGCTTTAATCATTCTGTATACTATAACACTTAATCCACCTTTAAATAAAACACAAATTGGGTTCTTGTAGTTCCCTCCCCCTGCTTAATCTTTTCAGTGTATTTGCATAATCCATCCATTGTCTTTCCTATTGTTTATTTCCATTAACCTGTGGGTGACACATTTTATGAATGGAATGTTACTGATCCCCAGATTACATTTAGCATTTCAGCTCTGAAATCCCACTGGGTATGTTCTGAATTAGCATTAGCTGCCCACGATGTGTAAATAATTCAACACATTTACAGAGTACAAGTAATCCTGAATCAATAAAGTACAGAAAGTAACTAATTAATCTTTACAAAATGAGTTATAAAAGAAGGGAACCATTTTGTTATGCTTTCAGGATAAATATTTTGGGTTTTTACCAGTCAACCACCTCTGTCACAGCAAGGCAAAGAGGAAAACACTCAATTATCAAATAAAATTCAACCACATTTAATACCTAATCTGAATAAATTAAAGTCAACCTCATTCTCACTTTGGTAAATTAATTTCACAGATAAACAAGCCCCTGTAGACTTATCCTATGATTAGGTCTTTTGCTTGCCTTATGCATTGTTAAATATAACATTTATTTTTATTAAATTTATACTTGTATATATGCTAAAGAGGAAACTTCTAGAAGGCTTTTTAATGAAAACTGGAAGGTTTTTCTATTCATTCTATTCCATATGAAGTAATCTGGATTTTCTAGAGAAGTCAACTTTTAACTGATAATTTTGATATTTAAATTTCATATCCCTAAATTGTACACTAGTACTTTCTCTTGATTTTCCAGTTTGAGATATTATCCTACTTCCTTTTCACTATGAGAAAGAAATGCTTAGTATTTATTTTTATATTGTTGGCAGTGCTAGGGATTCAAGTAGCACACTGAGCAAGTACTCTACTACAGAACTACAACCCCAATCCCTGCCTATATTTCTAATGATCACTTTATTTAGAAGTGTATAGGTAACGAACTGAACATTTTAAGAACACACAATTTCTCTTCATTTTTTTCTGGCAGCACTAGGGGTTGAACCCAGGCAAACACTTTATCACTGAACTACATTCCCTCTCCTCTTTAAGTTCTGAGACAAGGTACTGCTAAATTGTTCTAGGTAGCTAGAATTTATGATCCTCTTGCTTCAGCCTCTTGAGTTGCTAGAACTACAGGTAAGTATGACAACACCCAGTCATAATTTAAAATTTAAATTTCCTAGGGCTGGCTGGCCAATTAGCACAGGGGATAAAGCACCTGCAAGCAGGTGTAGGAGCTGGGGTTCGATCCCCAGCCCTGCCGTGCCAGCCCCACCCCTAGGGCATGCTGAGACACCATTGAGACTGGGTGTGGTGGCGTAAGCCTGTAATCCCAGCTCTTGGGTGGCTGCAAACAGGCAGGTCACTGTAAATCCAATCTAGTAGTGAGACCCTGAACACCCTGTAGACCCTTCATTAAAATACAAAAAAAAAATAAATAGATAAAATAAAAAATTAAATTTCCTTAAATTTTAACATGCACACATGCCTTGTGAAATCACACACACAAGGTAATTTATGACCTCCAGAATATTTCTTCCCTACACAAGGCAAACTCTGATTGACTTTCTATTATTTACTTAGTATGTTTAGAATTTCATATAAGGGGAAATATATGGTATATATTTTCTTGGGTTTGATGTTGCTCCTGTCACAATTATTTTGCTATTTCCCCTTGCTGTGGTATTTTTCCATAGTTGATAACTTTATATTGCTGAATGGTATTCCACTGCAGGTCTGGCCTAGAGCGGGAGTATTTGTCTCTTTCACAATCATAAGGTATCTAATCTTCCATACTGGCTCCTTGCAGACCTAACTCTACCTGACTGCCTATATTTCTATCTAGCTCATCTGCCTACAACATTCCCTCCTCTGAAGAAGTAACCCAACTGCCACGAGGGAATGATGGGCAATAAACACTTTGGCTTCTTCAGACTGAAAGGGGTCATAGTCGTTGACCAGCAGTTAAAGATGCTCTCTAGAGAGTCTATCTAAAGACCCTCCATAGATACCAGGCACTTTCATCTCAGGTAGGTGCAAGTCTGGAGGAGACAAAGCCAAAGAAACAATTAAGTATTCCTCAGCCAAATAATAACATCAACAGGACAATTATGAATATAGTCAAAGATTTTCACCAAGAGGAGACAGTAATGACTTTTTATGAAGAGCATAAGGGTAAGGTCTAGGGAAACTTTGAGTCTTACATGTTATTTAATATCTTGAGGGGCTGTTGAGACATTAGTAGAAGGATCAGAAATATAACATTTAGTTTTTACAGTTTTGTAAGTATCTCCCTGTGCTGCTGTTAGAATCTCCCTGTGCTGCTGCTAATGTCTAATTTGATTTAGGTGGATGGCCTGTTTTATTAATTTTACTTTTTATTTGGGAGCGAGAGATCAGTTGTGGTGTCACTAATTGTAATTTTAAATTACACCTCACTATTGAGTAACAGTGCTGAATAATGTTTCCTGTTCTTTTTATCATGTGTATTTTGTAAAATAAGTTACAAATTTTTAATTGGTTGACTGGTTGATTCAGTTTTTTGTTATTGGTTTCTTGAGACAAGGACTCATTATGTAGTTCAGGCAGGCCTTGAGCTCCCTATGTAGCCCAAGATGCCTCCAACTCATGGTGATCTTCCTGCCTCAGCCTCTTGAATGCTGCAATTACAGTTATGCACCACCACACCTAGATTCTTTATTTATTTATTCATTTACTTTTTGTGATACCAGGGATTGAATGTGGGATCTTGCATTTGCCAGGCAGGCTCTTGTGCTGCTGAGCTATATCTCCAGCCCCTAGATTCATTTTTCATAATTAAGTTTTAACAGTTTTTATACATAGTGTAAATAAAAATAACCCCCTTCTGTAGGTTATATTGTATTATATAAATATTTCTTTCAATTCTGTGACTTTTTATTTGATGATATCTTAGGGCAATCAAAAGATTTTACTTTGATGAAGTTCTACTAATAATTTTTCCATTACATATTACAACTCTGGTATTTTATTTAAGTATCTTTGCTTAGTCTAAGACACAGAGATTTTCTCCTACATTTTCTGGGTTTGTTATTTTAATTTTTTTTCTTAAATCATGGATGAGTTTTAAACTGAGAATAATTTGTATTTTAATGCTCAATACTACCAGCACCATTGTGAATGGTGATAAAAGCTATACTTTGCAGGTTGACTTTGCATATTCAAAGAAAATCAATAGGATCAAAGTCTGGGGCAGGGAGAGACTGAGGTAGGAGAGAAAAAAACAAACAGGAACAAAAAGAGACTAAGAAATCATAACTACAAAAATTGTACTTTTAATAAAACAGTGCCTTCTGTGATATAAAGTCATCCAACGTAAACTATATCAGCTTTCCCTTGGTCAAATTTATGTTCCTCTTCTTCCAGAATCATCATATTCAAAATTCCTCAGGAATATTGCAAACCCATAAAGTGGCTTTATTAAAAATTAAAGAACAAGAATCTGACCCCAAGGTAAAGGAATAGTTTGAAAGAATTCAGAGAATCCTTAAATGATCCACATTAAAAAAAAAAAAAAAAAGCAGAAACTGGGCTGATACTTGTAAAAT